AACGACCTGAAGGCCAGTAATACACTTTTGACTTTTCACTCAAAAAGCTGATGGAATCTGGTCTAATTATGTTGCCACACCGCTTAATAAATTAATTCCAATTTCCTCCTGTCTTCCACAGACTGCCTGTGAAAAGACTGTTTCAGTCATGCACCATGTCATTAAGAGGACCATTACTTACGCCAATGGTAAGGTTTTGTGTTTATTGACTTCTGCATGTGGTCATGTGGTCTCTCTGCTTAATCTTGAAGTTGTTTGCTTGAAATAAAGGAATACTGTTTGCTCCCTGTTGCTGTTGATACTATAGTTAGACACCATACAATAGTAATATGTCAACCAGTAGTGTGCATCATGTAGGGGCCACTGGCATCATCTTATTAAAACAATTATTGAGATACACAACTTAGTTTATTAAATTACTCAATTTGGTTTTGCTAGTGTTAGGTATTGAGTAAAAGTGAATTACATGTAGACTGAGGCACACAAGTAATGTCACAACTGGTTCTCTTATGATTACATGTAAAAAGGCACAATAGGATTAACAGCCTTAGCGTTCACTGAGACAAGAATTGACTGCTACGTGGACCAGTCCAAAAAACTGCTCTTCTTCTCATCTCTATTTCAGAGATGGCCGGACCTGGGAAAAGGCCCAGTTCCGCACAACTGGAGCTGAGGATGGTTCAGAGCAAAACTGACATCGAGAATCCTGCCATTGTAGTGGAGGCTAAGGTTGTACAGAAGTCCTCACACTGAAGACAACGTAGCGTTTTCACGAACATTCGCATCGTGCTGGTACAAATCTGCTTCAGATCTGGGCGGTGCGCCAGACTAATGTAGGATTTTCACATCAAAGACTGTCACGTGTCTCTGCCTTACAGAATCTCTGGGAAAGAGAACTATGTTTTCATGAGAGGAGTCAGCAGGATTTGCTGTACATGTACATTCTGCTCACAAACACTGGAACCACTGCCATATGTGTCTGTGCTATGGCCTTTGTAGACATCATCTACAACGGTCTATTAGGGCCACTGTAGGTTTTTAAAAAAAACGGTAATATTCCCCAAAAAAACTCTCCAAGATTAAAGTCATAAATCTGAGAGAAAAAACATTGATTTTCTCTGAGATTAAAGAGGTAAATTTACGAGAGGAAAAACTCACAAATTCACAAGATAAAAAAATATTCAGAGATTATAAAGTCATACATTTGCTAGAAAAAAAATTAAAAATTCAAATGTGCTTATATTATTAAAGGCTTTGTACTCTTTTAAAAGCAGGGTATGCAGATGTTAATAAAACAGCTGTCACATACGTCTACTTACACCAAACAAACAGTATTATGATGAGATGATGTGACACACATGTGGTTTTGTTGCAGTCCCTCATATTTGCCTAATTTTCCCGAATTATTTCTCATAGATTTACTACTTTAATCTCGGAAATTTTAAGTTTTTCTCCGAATATTACCCCCTACCCCAGCTCTGTAATTTTTAAATGTTATGTACAAAGGCCCTAATATTCCATTGTACAGAATCTGCCCTTCAAAACAAAAAAAGAACAGTAGCCAACTATGTTTAGTTTTTAATATAGTGTAACTGTACTTGAATCCCCATTAACATTGTGAAAATAATTTCTTACTGTAAAGCAACTCCTCTCAATTTAACTGAATAGAAAAATACACAAAACCAGTGATGCATGCTTGACCATGCCTCTACTTGTTTTGGCTTTGATCGTAGATAAGGACTAGTCCTATGTACTTGGAGTGTGTTGCTCACAACACATGATAAGCACATCATTATACTGTCTAAATATATCAAAACATAATGCGTTTCAGATTCACAAGGCATTTTATTACATTGTGTGTTTTCTGAAATGAATATTAAAAAATAGGTATGAATGCATGCAGTGTGCTTATAATGCACTTTGGTGTTTTATCATGCACTTTAAAAGCAGAATGAGTAGGATTTGTTGATTGCGATTTCTAAACACAACATTCAAAGTTGGGCCTATACATGGAAAAGACAATACTTAAGCAAGCTAGCTAAGTTAACCTCAGGCACCCACCTGTCCAACAGAAAACAGGTCAACTTGTCATCAGTCTTCATCCACCATCCGCTCCTTCAGTGCTCGCCAGCGGGTTAAAGCCAACGCCAGATTCACTCTGGTTTTGGAACAAACTTTGTCCGCTTAGCATTTCTCCTTTCTATATTTGTTTATTTTAGTGTTGTCTGTTTGTAGCTTGCTCTTGGTGCTTAAGATCTGTCACCTGGGCTACCTCTTTATCCCACTGTCACACTGTGCGCGCTGTTGGTGGCTGAGGGCTACACACCCACTACCCAAAGGCTGACACTCATAAATGTCCTGCACACAATAACATAAGAAAATACAAGGGAGAGGGCATGGACTCTGAAGATATCTCAGACATACACCACCACACACTTCTAATGGGTCATAAGTGATGAAAATCATACTCATTCTGCCTTTAAGTAAGGTACCACCTTAAGATGCATTAAGTGCTAAGATGTACATTGAAACTCCCACAAATGTCAAACATCTTATGAAATTAAAATGTAGTCTATACAGTTTCATTACGCCAATTGGTTTTGCTTTGAACAAATTATAACTTGTGATAAGTGATATCATGATAATAGTTGATGTCTAACATTGTTCTTTTAATCAATTTTCTGAAAAAGATTTTTTCAATTGTGCATTGAACTAGTGGATTATAAAATGTTAGCTCCATGTCTTAAACATCTCAAATTGAGGTATTTGCACAGATAATCTTTAGTACATTTACTAATGATCATTGTTTTACATTTTTGACTGTTGTCATATCTCAATAAAAGAGTCTGTATGAGAGACCATGCTGTATAATAGCCTTAAAAGGATTAGGGGGAAAAAATCATCGGTAATGAATGTAGTGTACCAATGTAAGAGTTGATCCTCACACAAATGTTAGAAATGTCAAGTGCCCATCCTTGAGCTAATGCTCTGATATAGATCAATAGAAGAAATAATAAATTATAATTATTTTACTGAAACTGTGTTTTGATTTTATTATTTACTTATTGCTAGGTTGCATGATGAGACTTCCAAGCGTGTGATATCTTTCTACTGATACCTTTTTCTTTTAGATAGACTGATTATCCTCAGATAAGTACAGTTTGAAAAGAGGTAATGTTGACAGGGAATGAGATTTTTTTTTTATTGTCTAGATTTACACTGAATACAGAGATGTAAAGTGCAGTTAATTCATGCAAACAAGTAGGTACAATTTAACCTGCAAACTTCAGTTATCACTAAATTGTCCTTCAGAATAAATGTAAAAATATTTAATGGCATTTGATCTTATTCATATATTGCAAGCAGGATAAATGAGAAATCAGATATGTGCTTTTAATTTGAAAGAGTACAGAAATAAGAGGGGAAAAAAGAAGAAAGACAAAGAAGTCAGCTGCCAACTACCTACTATACTGTGTGATTACAGCCAGGTGACAGCTCTGTTTTGCCAACACTAATCCACACCATGTATAGCCAGCATTAACCCAAATAACCAGACAGCACAGTATGTCAGCCCAACTGTAAACTGAGTACAGTTAGCAAAGATAGGATAACACATCTATTTGTGGGCTCTATCTACAAGGTAACCTCAATGAGAAATTCCAGGTTTCATTGATGAATTATGTTATCAATAGACATGCCAGATTTGTCACAGAAGGTCACTGGGTTTATGTGTACAAAAGGTTTACTAATCCCTCAGCTTGTCTCACTTCCAATTTATGCTGCAGCTATGCAAAAACACCAGCAGAGGGCTAAAGTCGATCAAACATGCACACCTACTCAGGGTGTTGAGATTTAGCTGAAGACAGTCCTGCCATGTGTTGATATATCCAATATGTCATGTTTCATATAAAGAATGGTACTTCTGGATTACATGCGATTTGTAAGGTACATGTTTTGAATAGTAGGGTTTAATTTTCTCATTCTGAGACAAATGTATATTTTCTATTCCAAAATGTAATTTAAATATGAGAGAAAGTTCTTATAGTTGTAATAAAAGAAAGAGCATGTGTTATGAACTGAGTCAAAGAGGTCAAGGGAATCAGTAATGTACGACAAAAAAAAAAAAAACCTATATCAGTAAATGTACTTTACTTGTAGTACTTGGATCGGCACACGTGAGGCTGCAGAGGCCCGTTGTTTAAAAAGACTGTATATTTTAATTATTTCTGTGATAATGAATGAGGGGCCGGACCGGATGTAGGGCACGCTACCTTCAGATGGGCTGTGAGGAAATGTGGGGCTTTAACCGACAAACAATAGCGCTGTTGCAAATCGCGATAACGTTTCCTCTAGTCATTTTTATTGCGTTTCAGGAAACGGACGAAGTAAGAAGGGCTTCTTAACAGGGTTATTTCACGCCCATAGATGCCAGAAAGCAGCGAAGTTTACCGGCTCCCAAGTGAATAATCTTCAGGTAAGACCAGAGTAGTTACTGACACTTGACTGCTAGCGTTAGCTGGCTGACCAAACTAGCATAGCGTAACGTTAGCAAGAGACACAGGTCAGTTGAGTATTTACAGATAACGTTCATGTCTGTGGATGAGCAACATAACAATCCAATTAGCCGACACCATCCTCTCTAAATACGACAATCACTTTAGCTAACGTTACGTTTGTTTTGTTAGTTTAGCATGCTAGCGTGTAACGTTACAGTTAACCCGGCTCACGCTGCCTTTGTGCCGCTTGCTCGAGTCCACACTGACATCAGGTTTAGGCTCCTGTCAGCCAGCGTTGATGCATCTGCTGCCTCTGTTAGTAGTAGCGGGACAGATTGTTTGTTTTTATTTTCTCAAGTATAGACGTCGAATGAGCCGTTTCCAACTTTGAGTTGACCGCGCAGCTAGCTTGACGTTAATTTACGTCCCCGGCCGCAGTCTCAGGACGTGTGCCAAACGATAAGCCCAGTCATTGGTTGGACACAAGGTGCATGCTAGCTAGTTGTTGTTTAGCATTTTTAAGCTAGCCATGCCGCACCAATGCATATAGTCTATTTGTGCGTTTGTATTCAGGGGCATTGGAGCTGCGGAATTGAGCCATGCGTGTTTATAGTGAAGCAGCACAAGTTACAGAGTAGATTGCAAAGTATCTCTGGGTTCAATGTTAAAAGCTGCTATCATCACGCTGCAACCCGCCACGCCGTACGTCATGTGAGCCAGCTGGCTTCAAGTTGACCTGCGTACCGTGTTTTATACAGACTATGTGGTATTAGCCAGTGCTAACTTTAGGCGTGAACCTTAATTTAACCACCGAGGCAAGCAGTACGTGACAGGCAAGTAACGTTACCGTGATCGTTCCTGACAGTTTTTGCTAGCAGTGTTTTTATGTTTTTCTAGTGATCATTATAATGCTGTGACTGTTCATGCTTGGTGCAAGAGACAGCTGTGTTCTCACAATACTGTCCACGTAGTAAAGTTAGACACAGCATTACATGGGAAAATGTACTAGTCATTGGATGTACACTGATATTGTAGAGCCACATGTAGGTGTGTGAGCATTCAACAGACCTTGACAGTGAAATTTGTAATTAAGTGCTGGGAAATTCTGGTGATTAATGATTATTGTTATAGGTTACTAGTTGATTTGTAAAGTGTGTGTGTGTGTGGTTCACTATCTGATAAATGCCAAAGACAAATAGACACTTATCTAAATTGCAATCTGTTAATTTTCTGTTGAGATTACCACTTGACTGTGTAGTCAACATTGATGGTAGAGACGAAAAGTTTGATACCTTTCGATATCTATAATTATCACGGTAAGTATCAAATCGTTATTTCGTTCGAGTTTAAAGGCAGATTTTTGCTCCTGAGTGAAAGTTAAAGAAACCTGATTGTTAATTGTGGTTTAAACTCTTCTTTATGGTCAACACTTGATGCCAAACAGTGGATCACTTCACAAATCTGAGGTAGAACATTCAAAACAATTCTGATAGTCTTTGTCAGCAAATATTCATGAGTAAAATTAAGTACAATCTTCACTCCCTTATCTTAAACAAAATAAATGTCTTAAAAAAATTAAGTCCAAATTTGCGTATGATTCAAGTGAATAAAATCAAACATTTATTGAACATTTGTTATATTTTATTTAAAAAAATATTGTAATAATTATTGTTTTATTGTCCAGCCTGCTAACTGCAGACTAATAGCAATTTCTCAGTTAATCGTGTAGCAAACCTTATTCTGACTATAATGGTACAGTAAGCTGGAAAACTGCAAACATCCAAAGCTTCCTAAAAAGAGATTGTCTAATACATACTTTGCTTATTCTTAAGGTTTAGGCTATGCATATAAAGCAAAGTGACAGAATTTTACAAGTCTGTATGGGTTTCCTAAGTTTGTTATGTAGTGTGTGTGTTTAAGTGTCTAAATTATTACAGTGTCCTGCAACACTTATGGCCTCTTCAACCAAAGTGTAAACCGAAATTATGTACTTTATATAATAAGAGATGCATGCGTTGCAATGGTGGCCAAATTGAAGCATCTACTTTAAACTTTTTCAGGTTGTATATCTGGGTCACACATGTCATACAAATGCGCTTGTTAATTGAGCAAACTGCGTTAGCTAAAAGTGACACGACTGTTAGCACATAGTAACCTATTGAACTGTTTATCATCTAATCAAGTCAAAGTATTGCCCTAGAGGACACATGCAATCGTAGGCAAGCCTTTTTTTGTGCACTGGCATCTTAGAGAGTAATCCTTCACTAGCAATATATAATTTTATTAACCATCATTTTTGTGACCAACTGGTAAACTACACAGTAACTTGTAAGTTCATACTCAAGCAGTCTGGCAATTTAACTCCTCCTTTTTTGCCATTAGTCCCATTATTTTGCTGACTACAGCAAAAGTACAGTATGTACCTTGAGTCTTATCAGTCATCACTTTTTATTATGGCAATGCCCAGAGGGAGCTTTAAAAGGGCTGTGACCATGTTTCAGTGGTCAGCTATCTCTTTACCCATCTCTTTACCTTATTTGTTGAATACTTTCTCTCCTTTCTGAGTTGAAGTCTTCAGAAGAGGCTTTGCATTGATTCTCTTTACATGGCGACAGCAATCAGTAAGTCAAATGCTCTGACACAAAAATGAAAAGAAAACAAAAGAGCCTCTATCTGTGGCTGTCACAGGACTGTAAAAAGCACATTCAGGCTAAATATAATGACTACCAGGCCTACCTGCCTGCCTGCGCTCACTGCACCTGAAAATGTGTTTTGGGGTAGTGACATTGGAGAAAGGTCTGAAGGGGATGGTGTGGGGTGTTCAAGTTTCTACCCTAGCTTTAAGTCGTTTTCAAGATTTCCTCAATATCAAATCCCATTGTTTCAAAATTAATTTGAAGCAACTCTGCTCCGCTGCTTTGTGTCGTCAGATGACACTGAGCATGCTTAAGCACACAGTTCCATGTTTACAATGCTGAGAGGAATACACTGCGTTCCTTGTAACTATTGTAGGCAGACTATTATAGCAGTTGATGTTGACTATCACTTTTCTAATGTTAACATAGCTGTCCTTATTAGCTAGGCTACTTGCTAATGACGTTTTTGAAGGTGGGTCTCTGGCATTGACAGCATTGTGTTGGACAGATTTGTGCAGCGGAGTTCATGATTGTAAACATTCAATTCACACACTGGTCCTTTGTCAGTGTGTTTGCGCGAACGAGAGAGAGACTGTGCGAGAGGTGCTGAGCGAATATATGTGCCGCACGCAGCTCTGAACTGAAATACGATTTTACCCATTTTAAATAGTAAAAAATAAATAAAATTGAGAATCAACATATGGCAGTCAGCATTGATGATGTGGCGGGCCACCACGAATAAATCAATGTGTGGGAAACACTGTAATAAGTAACACGTCCTCCAAAGGCAAAGACGTATTTGAAATGGATTAGGCTTGGGCAGTGTCACGTAGGGCTGGGCAATAAAACAATAATGATAATTATTGCAATATAATTTTCCATAATAACAATAAAACAAATGTTCAATAAATTGTTTAATTAATTTGAATTACTAACAAATTACAGCTTAACTTTTCTTTTAAGATATTTATTTTGTTGAGGAAATTGTTTTGAGTGTTATACCTCAGATTTGTGAAGTGAGCCACTGTTTGTCAAGTGTTTGTCATGTTCTGACCATAAAGAATAGTTTAACCAGTATCTTTCACTCAGGAGCAAAAATCAGCCTTTAAACTTAAAAGAAATAATGATTTGACATTTATCATCATAATTATTCATATGGAATGATATTAAATGTTTTATTGTAATAATATTTTTGGCCATATCGCTCAGCCCCAGTATCACGGCATAACAGGAAATGCAGGCAGCATGACTTTCAATACCATCAAAAATACAGACGCTCCTCTTTCTTTTAATCTGATACGAAAATGCTACATTGAGCTGACACACACGGACACTGTGTGAAACTGCCTGACATCATTTACAACTGTCAACAACATGACAACATAACCCCCCATTTCCTGGGGCTGCTGGTAAACAACTGACAAACAGAGCTTTAGCTGCAGCGTTATTCGCTGACAAGCTGTAAGGTACATTTACTGATAAACCTCACAGCTTAATTTTCCGTCTTTTCCGCTGCGTTCACCTGCCGCTCACTCTCTGTCAGCCACACTCTCACTAATCACACACAAAAGAGCGACTCGTCGATGAGTGGTGGGGATGACGGAACAGGACTAGTAAACAACAAAAATGCCTCTGCCCCTGTTTTGACCCCCTCTTTTTAACACAAAGGCCATCATATACAGTATACATCCTATTGAAATATCAGGAAGGTATGAAAAAACAAATGCCGCCCAAGCCTGTGGTAGGTGGCTATACAGATGATACATGTTGGCAGGATCTGTGAATTTCTGCTTTTGGGCTTTTTGTGGGATTTGTTAAAAATGATAAAGAATGATCAAATAAAGTCATTATTATAATGCATTGTGCATCTTTGGTTGTGTTACCATATGTGACTTTGCCATAACAGTGTTAACTTTAGTTTATTTTGTAAACTGTGAAATCTAATTTTAACCTCGGCAAGTGCAATTTAAATCTATCCTGCTGTATTGTTCTCCATGTTAGTTTTTTCTTTCTGGCCTATGTGTGCATCACAATCAGAGCAGCGTGGTAGTAAGTGGTGTGGCTTTAAAATATCACACATGGCATAACATAAAACTGTTCAACTGAAGTTCAGCAGTACATTGTTGCTATGTGCTGGACTGAGAGCATGCTATGCTTTGAAACATGAATGACCTTCATTGTGCAGCAATCAGTGTATTTTTGTATTTGGCTTTAATGTCCAATGGCAAGGCCTCAGGACTGTACTCTAACCATTGACCTGTTTGCTTTAGTAAACGCTTGAATGTATTTCGGCATCTCTCTTCCAGCTTGTCTGAAGCACATTTGACATTAGCTCTGTGTGAGAACCCAAAGGATTTTGTTTACTTGCCCACTAGCACCGTTAGATGCCATATCTGTGTGGCTGAGCAGTGCACAATGTTGTAAATAATTTTCCAGGTTAATTCATCCCTTATTATATCTATTCTGACTAATGTTAGATGTTACTAACAGGTGACCAATGGCAAGATAAGGCAGGAAATTCTACATTGTGATTGGTTCCTTTAGCGTAACAGATGCCATTTTGTTAACTCCACCTTTGTCAGAGAGAGCCCAGCCTTCTTTGTTAATGTTAATGAAATGTGACATATCCAGGGTGCCCATAGCCTGCTAATTAGCACTAATCTGATCCACTGGATTAGAGGATGGGAATGCATCTAAGACACAGTTACAGAAGTGAGCCCTCTTTCAGTCTTCCTAGCATCAGTGGACTCCAGTAAGAATCCACAGTGGTGTTTTTGGTCCTTTTTTTTTGCGTTGCTCTCAATGGAGATCCATTCTTTTTGGTATTGTTTCTGGTGATAGGCAATTTCTTTGGTCCTCAGTAAACTCTTGTGCTGATTAGGCAGTTCCTCCACCAGGATCCGGGGCCTGGCTGTGTTCTTGCTGTCATCATAATCTACCTCCTTCCTTCTCTGGTATTATCATGGCTGTGAAGCAGGGCGGCCTGTGACTGTCCACCTTTTTGTTGATGTTTTTATTTTGGCTTTAATTTGGTGAGATACCAGGAGCCAAAATGCTGAACCAGAGTGCTGTGATGATCTTCACTGGGATTTGTGGGGCGTTGGTGGTCATGGCAATGGCCTACTATGTCTACTGGTAAGTTACATGCAAGAGAGGTGGCTAGGCTAGGATGGGCCCTACCAGATTTATTAGAAAAG